CCACGGCTGAGCAATGCATTTTCTTTCAAAGAGTACCGGGCAACCTTTCTAAATATTTGCAGCAGGAAGCTTTTCAAGGTTATCGAGGCTGCCGTGATGCTAGTCCAATTCTCCGACATCTCAGGGCCTATGTTTAGAGCCCGGCCTAGGCTATTACTGAAGACGATCTTTCGATTCAGTGGGAAAAGCCAGAGGGCTAAAATACAGACGATATCTTCTTTAAAAAATAAACTAGGGCTGGGGATTTATCTCAGTGGTTCTGCCACCTGCCTGGCAAGCGTGAGGACCCGAGTTCGATCCCTGGTACCTAAATAAATAAATAAATAAATAAATAAATAAATAAATAAATAAATAAATAAACTAGGCACCTCAGGGATTCTCACTGGTGTTCTAAATGATGGATTACATGTTTGTGTTTCTTCGATTCATCCATCAATCCTGCGCTTTCTTTTTTCTTTGAAATGGTCTTGCAAGTGCAAATGTAGGTAGTTCCAGAAATACCCAGCAGATGGCGCAGCTGGAACCAGCCCCCGTGTCCTCCGTCATACAGGAGAGAGCCGTTGAAGAGCTTGAGCTGTGTGAAAATTGAGATACTGAGGAAAGCTGATATGCCTTAATCTGTCCCCAAAACACACGAAAATGCTTTCTGCCAACACAGTTCTATTTAACTTTGTTCAGTTTCCTCAAAAGAAAAAGAAAAAGTGGTTCTCACAAAGACAGAGCAGCAGGACAAAAACATCCAGAGAGGGGAAAGAAAAGTTGGCATGTTCTGGAACATTCTCATCAGGTGATCTTTCCAGGATGATAAAGAACCATTTAGTTGAATAAAAATGACATTTCTAAAAAAAATGCAAATAAAAAATCCAACCCTACCCTGTGTGCTTTGCTACTGCATGGAGTTACTTGAGTTTTTATTTTGTACATAAAAGAAGCAGCAGCCCCTCCTCTGAGGGAGGAAGAACTCTCACCTTTTACTTCCGCGCATCCTGGGTTGTGACCAGACAGCTCGCCCAGTTTCTACTGATGCCAAGGCCTTGGAGAAATTCCTTGTGAGACACGGAATTCTGTAAAGCAGAGTAAGTGGTCTGTAAGGTCCACGGTCTTCTTGTCTTAAGTTGGCTAAATCGGCCCGATTCACCCTGTGTGTATAGCAACAGAGAGACACATAGGCCTGGCAGCACATGCTCAGGGGCCCAGACACACTCTACCCGCAGGCTTCTTCCTGTCCTTGCCTCAGCCCCTGCATCCAGGGGTTCCCAGAGGACACCAACAGCGACGGATTTGAGCAAGGGAGGACAGGGTGGTTTCCCACCACAGACAGTTCTAGGCTAGGGACCGTCTTTTCTCCTCCGCACATGACTACCGACATCTGGGCTTTGGAACTGCAAACTCCGTGTGAAAGATGGGACAGGACTTCAAGATGGAAATGCCCACCCGTACTAGCCAGCTTTCCTGTGCCTGGGACCAAACGCCGGATACCCACAACTTAAAGGAGGAGAGGGTCGTTTGGATGACGGCGTTGGGAGAATTCTGTGGACTGGCGTGGTGGAGCGGCGTGGTGGGAGGAAGCCCCTCACCTCACTGCATATAGAAGCAGGGACCGAGGGACAGAGGGAGCAAGAAAAGAGGAGAAGGGGAGGTAAAAGGAACCAAGATGTGCTCTGTGCATGCACCAACTCCCCGCATTATGTACCACAAACATGGACTAATAGAAATTTAAAATTTAAAAAATCCGATTAAAATATTCAGGTAAAAAGTAAGCAAGGAGAGAAGGGAGGAGTCAAGGACGAGAATACACACTTTTCTAGGTCACACTAACAGGAAATGCCTCTTCCAACAAGACCCCACTTCCAAACACCTGAGATTCGGGGGGACACTGTAGATATAGACCCTATCACCCATGTCAAATCCAGTCAGCAGAAAAGAAGAGCCAAAGTGGTGAACAGCATTCAGACATGGTATGAGAACTCTGACGGCGTCCATCTCTCTGCAATGGATGGGTTGGAGAAGAAAAATGAACCCTAAAGCATGTGAGATGCGTGGGAACTCACAACCTCTAGCTGAACGTGGAAAGGCAGAGTGCGGATCCCGAAACCACTAACTGTGTCCCCACCATGACCTGTAGAGATGCTCCTGAGGACACCGGGACGGGGCGTAGGCAGGTAAGCTCTGCTGCAGCCGTTTAGGGTCCAAAGCTGAGGAGGACGGTGGGAGACGAAGAAAAGATGACGCAGACCAAGATTACTCTTGATAGCTGGGACCAGGTGGAACCATAGCTTATGGGGAGCTAAAGGCCACGTGAAGCACGGTGCACTCTGCATTTACAGTGGCAGGCACACAGGAGGAGAAGGCGGGGCAGGGTGCTCCGTGGCCAATGTGGCCTACGTGGAATGTAACGTGATTGTTTCCCGATCAGGGTGTGCTTAGGAAGGAAACAGGGAAGGACTCAATGTCACTGCCTCCCAGGCAGGGCCATCCAGGGTCTCTCATCTGTCGGGGAACAAAGGAGTAAGGAGGAGAAAGTGAGCAGGGAAGACACGAAGGGCCATCTACAGGCTCAGCCTGGCAAAGCTCCACCAGGGGAAAAACTACATTACGCTCCTTTGTTGTGGATGGATGGCAAGTTCTTCAAAGTGAGGCCTACAGCTGCCTTCATGCAGAAGGAATCTAGGACCCCAAGTATTGCTATTCAGTTATGAGCAATGTGTCTGCGTGTATTCGTGTAGAAAGCTAGCTTTTCCCCATTGTGTTGGGTCATCATTTCCTTTCCCTTATTTTCAACTATTGCAATTATCTGTGATACATTTTCTTATCAGTGAGGGACTCAACCCCCTCCAGCCACACTGACTGGGCTTCCCCTGGGGTTTCCACACGGTTAGCTGTTGTCTTCTGCTCCTTTTGAACCTTTGTGGTAAATAGTGGTAGAATACGTTGTGTGTCCTCTTGCCTTACTTGGCCATCACCGTGTGGATCATGCAGTTAATCGAGTTTTTGCTAATCTCCTTAAGGCAGATTGAAAATGTTGATTGCTAAGCTACCAAAAACAACTGAATTCATGAGAAACATCATTTGTTTAAATTTCCATGGAATCTTGTTTTTTTTTTATTGCCTCAGCATTAATGATATTCATTTAAAAACCAAGGCAACATTGACAAGAGACAAGTGCATTTGAGTTCTTTCAATGTTTTCTCTTTGAGGAGAACTCTGCTAGGTGTGTGGTGACCAAATCTAATATTAATTGTCCCTCGGTTTCTCTGGAGGGCTGGACCAGGGACCCTTCCCCCACAGATACCGAAACCTGCAAATGCTCCAGACCTGGGGAAAAAAATGGCTTTGTATTTACATGTGACCTACACGTGTCCTCCAGGGTCCATTCAGTCAACTCTGATTCTTTATACTGCCTAACACAATGTGAACACTGTTTGCATATGGGAAATACTGAGAAGGAGAGGGAAAAGTGTCTGTATATTTTCTGGCCTGATGCTGCTTTAAAAAAAAAATAGTTCCAGTCGTGGTTGAAGCTTCGGATGTGAACTCAGGGATGTGGAGGTCCAGCTGGGCTGGATATTCATGGAATATGATGAGGGGACGACTCAGAAGAGGCTGCAACCTGTGCAAAAACTTCATTGCACCCAGACCATTCTACCTGATCTTTCCTTCAGCTTCAGGATGCAGTCTGAAGGTAGGGAGGGAAGATCCAGCCCATTGCATGGTGCCACTAGAATTAATAGAGTTCCTTTAGGCTACACAAACACCTCAAAAGGCAGCAGTCCATGCACGAGCACAAGTGCTGTTTTGGAAAGGCAAATGATGGGCAGATGCTTTTTACAGAGTTTTGTATTTCTGAATTTTCAAATTTCTCCCACATCCTAAGTAAGACAAGTCTAAGAATGTAAGCAAAAGCAAAGGCAGCCGCAGAAGTGCTTTGTGACTGTCCAGGTAGAGGCAATACCTGTCAGGCAGGTTAGGTGTGTTGCTGGCTGGCTTTCTCCAGGCCAAGACAGAGCACAGCACGGCAGGAGCAGCACAGGACCCAAACCACTTGTTTCATGAGCCAGAAAACAAAACTGAGAAAGAGGAAGAGGCCAGGGCCCCCAGTTTCCTGCAAGGGCACAGCTCTAGTGACCTGATGGGTTCTACCAGAATCGCCTTCCCAAAGCTCTTCCCACTTCTCCATAGCCTTTAATATATGGATACTTCAGTGACACTGGGCATCTGCCTGTGTCACATTCACGCTTTAGCCATCCACTTCACCCAACAGAGCCAGAGCAATGGTTCTGCTGGGTCTTAAACCAGAAGCCCCCAAACTGTTAAGTGCAATAAAATCTTTTCTTATTATACGTTGCCTGTCTCAGGCATTTCATCACAGTGCTAGAAAACTAATCGATACACTGATTTTTAGACTATTTTCCAGCTATGAAAACAGGCTTTCTCTGTAAGATAATACAGCCTTGCTCCTCCTTAAACAAATTCAACCCAGAAAATGTCCAGTGATTGTCCTTCGCCATGGGGCTTCCACCGAGAATGGCTCGGTCCCACGTGTAATGCAACTACTGTGATCTTCACCTGTTCACATCTCAGGAAAAACACTGATTTCCACTTGCGACATCTTGAAACGGTTCCATTGCAAACCCCCGGTTTGGAACAATTCATGCCATGTGGGTGAACAAACTTAAGTTGTTTTTCATGACTTCAGAGGCCCAGGATCAGGCTGAAAGGGGAACAGGTTACTCCTGGCGTCATCAGGGACCTGCGTTCCTCTTTTCTGTCTTCCCTGTCATCCTCAGCACTGGTTTGCTGCTCTGTGTCGCCAGAGGCTGGCCAGCCCGTCACCAGCAGGAGGAAGGGAAAGGGCAAATTTATTTAAAGAGATTTTTCCAGAGACAGGATGAACCCTTAACCAAAATTTGGTTCAGATGTTGCTAATGAAGACACCACAAATGCATCCACCAAGAAAATAGGGAAAGGTTTATTACTCACATAAGGAGCTTTATGGGGATAGAAAGGCCGACTCCAGATGACCCAAAATAGCTTGCGGGAATCCAGAAAGAGCCAGCCTGACATTTACTGCAGGTAGAGGATGAGGCACGGCTGAGGGTTCTGCACGGGCTGGTAGAGCTGGAACACGCCATCAACTGCAAAGCGGGGAGCACCAAGACCTGCTTATCCACTTCCTGGTTAGGTGGCAAAAAAGAAAGCATGGTGGCCTGGAAAATCACCAGATACCCACACGGAGTCAGACTCCTGCACTGTCTCAAAGTCTCCCGTGTAGATCGCAGGGTGATTGAGGAATGTAGTGGTCACCTGTCCCAGCGGAGGGCCATGCACACAGAAGGAGCTCAGGACGGAGGTGAACAGGCTCCCCCTTGATGCCGCGTCCCTCCTGGGCTCTTCCTCCCTGTGGAGATAGCAGGGATCTTAGCTGTCCCTCGGGGTCAGTGGCGTTGAAGCACTCAGTTTACGTTTGGTTAAAGATGAGGACCACTGAGCCACAGAGAAGTACCCTTTTTCAAAGCACAGAGGAGCTCTGGGAGCTGGCCTGGGGCCTTAGCTGAACCCAGAGCCCACTGTGCACTTAGACATGGCGCATGCGCACTCATACTCGCATCCCAAAGCTTGGTTACAACAGTACATCCTTCTGTTCATTTCAGAGAATGAATGAACACACAATTAAAGAAAAAAAAAAAACAAGCAAAAAACAACCTTAATTCTGACCCCCAGGCTGGAGCTGTAATGTTTTAAACCTCAGGTGGAATGTCATCTGCAAAATTATTCATAGGGAGAAGAAATTTCTCCAGTGGGGAAAAGAGTGGAGGAGAAAAGTCAGAATGATTAGTCAAAAGAGTTTTCCAATACTCTGTTGTCCAGGGGTATGGAAAACAGGGGTACAGGAAAAATACATCACTCCTTCCAGTTCCCCAGCATCTCTCTCACCTTTCTATCCCTTGCCAAGGATTTTTTTTTTTTTTTTTTGGCATGAAAATATTGCTTCCTGGTTAGAAATGATCCTGCAGTTGAGAAGTGAGGCCCTGAGCAGGTCTGAAGCTAAGGCCCTGCAGGCAGGTGTGCAGCTACGACAGGGAATCTCTGGGCTTCTGCGTGAGGGTCAGTCTGCAGAAAGGAATCCTTTTCTGCTGAGCTACACAGGCTGGTTCTTGCTATCTACATGGAACTGAAGGAGAATCACTTAGACCTGACTTTCTTTGTTTCTGTGTTTACTATTTCAGTGCAGATGTTCCTGGAAGCACGTTCACACTTCCCTCTCAGGATTCAACCAGAAACCTCTTTGATTCGACATCTACTTTACAACTTTGATTTTGTGAAGTTTATAATCACTGTTCAGTTCCCGCAGGGTTGCTGTCTGGGCAGCCCAAGGCCACGAAGCCACCAAGCCAGCAAGGACATAAAATTCAATAGCCAATTAGAGCACTTTGGTAAAGGACCCAACTCTCCAGAGCGACCCCTGGGAGCCCAGAGGACTCGGTGGGTGGAGAATCTGAACACAGAGTTCTGGAAAGCCTCTCTTGGGGTCTTGGTTCATTTTTATTTTTATTCCCTTTCACTCCTTTTGTTTTTCTTTTGAAGAGCTTAAAAAATTTCCATTGTAGCTGGAAAGGCAGAAAAGGTACTAACTTCAACCACATTTTTGGTACTCTATAAAAGCTAAATAAAAATAACAGAACATGAGCAAGGTACCTCAGAGAGGTGCAAGATGTTTGTAGGCCAACGAGCAGACCAAAGGTAGGAGAAAGGCCAAGTCCTCCAACCTTACCTCAAAATAAAAATTTGGGTTACAAAGGAAATGCAAGTGCTACCACTCCTAGCCCGGGAAGTCCACTTGGACCCTCCTCTCAGCTTTAAGTGAAAGCAGAAAACATCTCTTGTGTGTCTGCTTCACTGTGACTGCCTCGCAGTGGAAAAAGGACATTTTTTGCAGCGAATTTATCATTTGACGCAGATGTTTGGCTGAAGTTTCCTGATCTTGTCAGCAAAGCTGACGTTAAGAAATGGGAGCAAGAATGGTAGTTTATTTGTTTTCTTATGAGGTGTAAATTTGCATAAATGAGAATTATTTTCATTACAGTCTCTTCAGGAGCTTCTAGTTTTAGGGAGTATGCTCTCCTCTTTCCCCTTGTTGGGAGAAAATTGACTTTTTTACTTACATGTACTGTGCCTTCTATCTTCCCTTACCACTTTTATTTCTGCCTGCTTCAGTATGTTGATTGCTGCTTGTAATAAAGGTCGTCAAGAAATGCAGACTTTCACCATGGTGTGGCGGATGGCTAACCCTCTCTTGACCTCTAGACTTTTCAGAGTCTGCAAAGGATAAAATCAAGGAGGAATTTGCAAAGTCCATTAAGTCTAGATCTTCCCCCGAGGGCTGAGGCCTGGGCTTGAATGTACCCTGTCCGGCTTTCCTGACTGGAAATGGTTAAAAAGTAGCTAGGGAGTTCTGGACAAGCAAAAGTGGATGTGATAACAAGGTAAGCATTAGCAAGTAAGTTTTTCCTGAATTTAACTATTAATACTCTGTCAGGCTCCAGGAGTAAACTTAGATCGGTCGTCTGTTTTCCTTTTTAAGGTAGATGGAGAGTTCTTCTCCAATGCATGTGACTAGCCGAACACACATTATGTTACAGGGAAGCTGTTCCTTCTTCCAAAACAATCTTAATTTTTATGGCATCTAAGTTAAAACAGAAACATTTATTTTCTTATGGGTAAAGTTCCTGGAATGCTCTATTAGGTCGATTCAGTACATTTTTGCACCAAATAACACTTGACCAAACATTACTTTCAAAAATTGACTTCTCCTTTTCAAAAACAGTTGAAGACGTGCACGTCTTCTGCTAGGGCACGTCACACTTTGGTGTCTGGTCTGTAAAAATCTGTTTTCCCCGAGGCCCAGTTGGCTGAAGCCACCCCGTAAACGACTTCTGTAACCAACAGGTGGTGCCAGCTGTGGGTGTCCAACTTATAACAAAAATGACACGTGTAGACTGTTACTGCTGTTGGGCTTACAAAACATACCCAAATCAGGTTCATTTGTGTAAATCATTGACAGATTCCCTGTGATTTACTGGGATTGATGAATATGCGGATACAGTAGGAAAGAACCCGGGACAGAGAACATCATGGAACATATTGTACCTTATTGTAAAATAAAAATAGCCTTGGAAGGCCTGCGGAATGTGTTCCAGCAGTATAATCAGTTCTATACTGTGGTTTTCCTGCCAGCTGGGGAGCCCGGCGTCCCCAAGACCAGTGCCAAGTGTCTGGTTCGGGCTTCGGTAGGACATGTTTTTCTTGCTGTGGATTTTCAGGTCTGCAGTTTCCCCAAGTGCAGGGCATCTGGATTGCCTTCTCAGTGGTGTGGTGTTGCTTTCCTTCAAGATGCCCCTGCGAGATTGGAGCCCACGATCCTCTGTGATGTGGCTGCAAGACCCTGCAGCCCGGGTGAATCGGGCCCCTCACAGTTTTCATCGTGGATCAAAGAATTCATCTTCCAGACCCAGGCCCTCGGCTACCGAGGCCAAATTTGTTACGGTGCTCTCATGAGTTGCTGAACAAGTACTGCTGTACCGGAGCCCATCCGAGCCACACCTATCGTGAACTGATATGGAGTGTCTACCCCCATTATACCACGTTTGATCTACATTCGCCAAGAATAACACAGCATCTTCTTTCCCTTTGTCTACATGGACTCCAGAGTTAAAATGTGATAAACTGCCTCCTTGTGTCCAGGCAGAATTATGTGCAATGGGCTAAGGACCACCTCGAGCCCGTGACTATCCTCTGGCTTCCTGTCACACACACCTTTGAGGCCGCACCAAACACCCAGGGGCAAGGAGTAAAGGGAAAGGGACTCACCTAACCTGTGAACATTATAAAAATGCCCTAAATGTCTTCAGCTCGAATTTTTAGAAAGACTCAGGGGCTCTGGCTACAAACCCTCACCTCAGGCCATTCCGGACACACACCCTGCAAGGTCTGTGTGTCTCCCTTAAGGCTCCTTCTAAAGCCCTGCTCAGCCCCCACTTCTGTCTCCCTACCCCAGGCCTCTAACCTGAGCCTCACAGCCCTCTGCCCACCGGGCACTGCACATTTCCACACTTGCTTGTATCCTCACTGTGAAGAGAAAGTCCTGCCACTCAGGTAACGAGGCCATTGTTTTTTGTCATCTCCCTAACGCCTGGAGAACTTTTAGTCGATGCTTAATCAAAACTCAGGCAATGTCAAGAAAACAAAATTTCTAAGCCAAACAGTGCTGCGCACAGGATGAGGCCTCTCCGCCTGGCTCTGTACCCTTTTGTCTGGGGGTGAAGGGGCCCTACTTGTGCAATTGGCAAGGCCATTTCCAACGGCCACACGTTCTACTTCTTCTTTTTTTTTTTTTGGTACGGGGGATCGAACTCAGGTCCTTTCTACTTCTTGATCTGCTACACCAAGGGCTGGCAACCTTTTTCTGATGAAGTCCAGATAGTTAATATTTCCAGCTTTGTGTTCACCCTCCTTTGCCACAACCCCACAGCCCTGCCGTTTTAGCGGGAAAGCAGCCATTGGTAATCTGTCGCAATAAAACAAGACGTGAGCTGGCTGCGTGTGACCGGGCACTTATAGTCTGCGGGCCTCTGTACTACACTGGCGTCACCTTAGAATAACCGTTTCCTATGGATAAATGTGCAGCTCCCGGAGGAGGAGGAGTTTCATTTCCATTTTGTCCCTATTGTTATTTGGATAAAGACTTGCAAAGTGACTCTCAAGTGTAGTCTTTGTTTCATTTTCAGATTAGATAAATCTACTGAGGCATTGTCTTTTTTTTTTTCCTTTTCTTTTAAAATAATATTTGTGATCATCTTGTTTCCTCAAACTAAGCCTGAGACAAAGCTGGTAGTGCCAGTTCATTAAGCTCTTTGTGGCTAAACTGGTTTCTCATCCACTAGGTTCTGGAAGAGGAAAAGAAAAGATTGCACAGATTAGGTGTGTTGTGAGGAGGGACAAATACGTAATGGAAACCAGACTGGGCCTCCTTCCTCCTCCCCAGATTTTGCACCAACTAATCTTAGTACACAAGGTGGAACAAGGGGTGGACTTTGGCCCCTTAATTTAGACTCTAACACTACCAGAGAAGCAAGGGCAAGTCTACATTCTGGACCTGGCATGGAAACCCGAGCTGAACTGGACCTGAGGACCTGAACAGAGATAAATCATCTTTCTTTATCTACTTGAGGCCAAGCCACTCAGAGATAGGCCTTCTGTTTCACCCAAACCCTGCCTAGATCTGATCTGGAGGGTCTTGTCATCGCCCCTGGGCAGAACTGAGTCCCAGCAAGTCCCCCACCATCACCCGTAGTCCCACCCTGCCCCTGAAAATCGCCAGAACTCAAAATGACTCCTGGAAGACATTCTCTCATCCCAGGCCCTCGAGCAGTAGCAGGGAGGCTAAGGAGGCACAGTGGCTCTTGGTCTTGTGACCTGAAGGTATTTATTTTATAGAACTAATGGCTACCAGGTGGTACTCGGGACCAAGAATACTCTTTTTTTTCCCTCTTAACAAGACATAATCTAAGTAACCAGAGTGTGGGTTGTGTGCAGACCAAAGGCTAGCTAGAGGAACTGGTCACATCCTGAGGTGAAGGAGCAATGGGCTTTGTTGGTCTAAGATGCTGTTTATGTGGTAATGACTCATCCATGATCCACAGGAAAAGGCACAGCCACCTCCATACCGCGGGAGGTTTTATAGGCACTGTCATCATGGAGTCTGGAAACAGAAGCACAGTCAGAGAGAAAAGCTCAGCAGAGACGGGAGAGGAGTTACAGCCCTGGACTTTAAATCCTTTTTCAGCCCATTGTGGCTCAGATTCCACTTCCTGTCATCTCTGGTCCTCTGCCCCCCTCATTCTCAAACCCGACTTTGTTGGGACCATGACATAATCTTAAAGGACATCTATGCCCAGCCCTCACCTTGGAACAACAGAGCCAGCATCTCGTGGTCATTTAGAAGCTCTCCCTGGGGGATTCCAGTACGTAGTCAGAGGTGGGGCCCGCTGCTCTTTTCCTTCTCCCACAGTGCTGAAGGTGCTCCTGGGAAGAAAGCAGGACGGTGGCCAGCTGTGCCCAATCTCCTCGCCTGGGAACTGTCTCATAAAAATGCATCTGAAACCAGCTCTGAAGTCATCCCAGAAGTGATTCCATTTATATCAGAGAGGGAGAGAGAGAGCAAGTGAGAGAGGAGAAAAGGTAGAAATCCAGCAAGAGTCTCCTGGAGCATGGGTTCATGGCCATTCCAGCCTTCTCCACGGTGAGAATGATCATGGCACTGTGTTCATCCCGAGATTCCCATGGCAGCCGTGACTTCATGGCCACTGAGTGCTACAGTACAACGGAGGGTCCACGTGTCCACCTCAAAGTGAGCTCAAGTCCTCAGATTGCTATTTGGTCTTGAGCAAATGGCTCCATTTAAGACACAGTTTTCTCATCTATAAAACAGACTTGACTTGTTAAAATGGTACATTAGAATATATAAATAACTTAATAACTATTAAAATAGGTGGTGATCTAAATAACATCAATCGATTTGCTGACCCATAGCGAACCTTCATCAAAAGGAAGCTGTTATAATTAGGGCTATAATGAATTGTGTTTCTGGGCCAGGGTCTGGTTTTCTTGTTGTATGGGATAACAACTCAAGAATAAGAATAAACCCTAAAGTTTTGACTTCTGTTGGAACTTGTAAGGTCACTAAAGGGTGCGTGTGTGTGTGTGTGTGTGTTCATTCTCAAGTTCAGCAAGATCCAGTAGCATTAATTATGGTCAGATATAAGAAGATGAGCTTCTAAAGAAAACTCTCTGATGAATGCAAGCCAAAAATCGCCAAGGCTGCCTTTGATTTTCTTTGCAGTTCAAGTGGGGTATGTGGAGATTGCTATATTCTCCCTTATCTATTAGGGATCAAGAGATGAGTTAGTGGCTGGGAGGGAATATTTATAAAATTCTGGTTAAGGTCAGCATGACAATAGAGAAGGTTCAGAGGTAAATTATGTTTGATGTTGCTCTATATTATCACCACAACACATGCTACCTAGCAAGTATGGGGTGTGTATTAAAGGGTGCGTGTGTGTGTGTGTGTGTGTTCATTCTCAAGTTCAGCAAGATCCAGTAGCATTAATTATGGTCAGATATAAGAAGATGAGCTTCTAAAGAAAACTCTCTGATGAATGCAAGCCAAAAATCGCCAAGGCTGCCTTTGATTTTCTTTGCAGTTCAAGTGGGGTATGTGGAGATTGCTATATTCTCCCTTATCTATTAGGGATCAAGAGATGAGTTAGTGGCTGGGAGGGAATATTTATAAAATTCTGGTTAAGGTCAGCATGACAATAGAGAAGGTTCAGAGGTAAATTATGTTTGATGTTGCTCTATATTATCACCACAACACATGCTACCTAGCCAGTATGGGGTGTGTATGTGTGTGTGTGTGTGTGTGTCTGCGTGCAGGCACACCAAGGGCATATGTTTTCTGTTTATCTGTCAGACTGGTAGCAGTAGTCCCATTCTACATATTTAGCATCGAGATTTGTACTTCACAATGAAATAAATGTGTATTTGAGAATCCAACTTGAACTTGGCCGCTGTCTCGGAAGACCATTACTGTCAGAAGTTATTCTCACATACAATTTTAACAGAAAAACTAAGCCAGATAATAAAGCTAGAAAATGAAGGATGAATGGATGGATGGACAGGTGGATGGATAAGCAGGAAGATGAGTGGACAGACAGAATAGACTGATCGATCGATGGGTTAGTACGGCCCTGGAGCTGGCATGTCACTCAGGGGGCCGACATGTTCTTTGTGCCCCTTGGTGGGAGACTGGAGTTTCCGTTGTCAATGTCATTTCATCACGTGTCTGGCTTCATGTTTTCCCACATTCCCTGGGGACTCAACTGGCACAGCATGTACCAGTGAGGAAAGGAGCTTTCCTCTCTCCACCCCTCCACTGCTCTGTGCACTCAGACTCCAGGAAACAACCTAACACCCAGCAAACACTAGAAAGGGCCTCGCTGACGCAGGCAGCTCTCTTAACTAAAATCCCATCTCTAGGACTCAGGGAACTGTCAGATGACATTGCTTCCATGCTGGCCCTGCCTGAGTGGAATGCATTTCTAAAACCGAGGTGGAATTTTTGCCATCCCTTTCTTGTTGTTAAGAGCACATGACATCAGAAGGAACCCCAAATGGCACCCACATGTCCCCCATCATCTCCACAACCTCCACACTCCCACGGGTCAGCAAACGTGAGTGACATGTGGGGAATAACCCTACTGGCCAAGGCAGACCAGAGGGCATGTCAAGGTGGCAACTATAACTAGGTTCTGTAACCAAGATAGTAGATGGATTGCTGGGAATGTATGTGTCTGACTAAAGTCATGAAATAATGCTTCACCAAGTGGCAAAAACACTACATTTTATCTCTACACCTCAAGGCGCTTCAGGAAAACTGGCCCAAGAAAACCCGGTTTCCTTCGCACAAGTTAATGAACTTCTATTATTTAAGTAATTTAAACTACTTGACTAGAACTTCTATTTATTTAAGTAATCTAAACTACTTGACTACTCAAGTGGTTTAACAATGAAAGAAATACAATGAGACTCAGGAAATCAGTGTGCCCTGCTGCTCTCCTGAGCGGAAAGAGCAAAGGGCCTTCCAGAGAGTGCAAATCCTCACCGAGGTGGGCAGCTCGGCCGGCAGCTGGGCAGCTCTGTGCAAAGGCCAGGTAGAACACAGCAGGGTCCTGAAGGGATCAGCCAGTGCACAGTCTTTGCCCCCCAGCTCAAGCAGAGGGAGAAGCAAGAATGCACATATTGGACAGGGTTTGCAAATGGCCCTTCCTGGATGTGGATTTAGGTCAGAGAAAATGAGCCACCTGCTGCAGTGGCTCATACACAGGCAGGAAGAGCTATTTAACCTCAGTCACCTTCAACACGGAGCGCCACCCCCTAATGTCCTCTGCCAGGGGACACAGGCATTGGGCAGTTCCCAAGCCTTCCTTCATCCAGACTTCCCAGGAACCCTGGGAGGCCAGTTTGCTTTTCTTAGCAAATTGTGCGAAGAGTATCTCAGAGCAATCAATTAACCTACCCAAGCCATGCAGTTAGTAGGCAGCAGCTCTAGCATTCCGACCTAAGGCTAGCTCAGACAGAATCTGTACTCGTCTCCAGCCCATTATACCCTACTCTGTGCCAGAAAGAAATGATCCAGTGGCCTGAGGGAAGGATTACATTTTGGGTTCCATTTTTTTTTCTCTTTGTCTCCACACTGTAAAATGAGAGCGTATTCCATTCGGAAACTTAAAAGACAAAACATAACAATGTTTGCCCAAAAGACTGCAATGAGTCTAAATTGATAATCCGAGTATTCTTGTTGGTGTGTGTATTTAACAAGGTGATATGTATTATTTACTGATCAATAAACTATAGCACCAAACCTCTGGAAACACTGACGCCTACTAAATACACACAGATTTCATAAAGGAAAGTGAGCCTAAGGGTTTTCAGTGGTGAGAAGTTCCACACTTAGGGTAGTTTGAAGAAGAGCGAGTCATAATTTAACTCTCACTTGGGGTTAGGGTGACCACACTGGCAAACCAAAGCAGCAGAACAGAAGCTGTGAGAGGGACAGAGAATATTCTCTAGCAGGTGATCGAGTAGAAATACATGGAAGTAAGATTTCCCCAGGAATATTTCTTAATGGCAGAGTAAAGAAAAGCTAATCAGTCCATTCCTAGTTTGTCAAAGCAAGGAAAACCATGACTGTGTGACTTTGCTTTCAGAGGCTCATCGACAAGTCTCTAGCTTATGCTCTTTGGGGCAGACTGTCAAAGAGAAGCTCAGTAAAAAAGGATTCCCTTTTATCGGGCTTTCCTATCATCTCTGCTTTGCTTGGAGTTCCCGTGATCCCTACACACACACTTGACAGAAACCACTGAGCCTACTCAGCCATAAAGAATGAGAAATTAGATTCATTCATGGGAAAATGGGTACATATTGAGGATATACTCCTAAGTGAAATAAATAAGTCACACATGTAAATACCAAATAGTTTCTCTGGTGCGAATAAACTATAATAATACATAAGATCCTAATGAGACAATTGACAATGTGAAGGGCTAAAAGTGTAGGGAAAGTGGGAAGGGTGGGAGAAAGGTAATAAGGGAAAGAAAAAAATAGGAGAAAATGAAAAAATGGAAATAAAATGTTTGTAAATAGGGAGGGGGGTGAAGGGAAGGCGGGGACAAGGGGAAAAAATGAGAACCAAGCCCTGTCATGTAAAGGTACAAGATCCCAATGATGAGTGTGACTGTACTGTATACTTAAAATGTACCAATAAACTCAATGAGGAAGAAAAAAGAAAAGAAAAGAAACCACTGAGCCAGAACAAGATGACCACCATGGTCTGTGTTCATAGAACAAGTCCTCCGTGGACAGCTGTCCCTTCAAGTCAAATTTCTTGTCATTTAATGCACTCTTGTAGCTTCTCCAGTTCAGGTTCCATTACTCAGTGCCTAACAGTTTTCCAGGGCAGACAAAGAACAGGTCCACAGTTGAGGCCATAGGCGTCTGTGACACTCTTTTTCTACACTCGCATTTCTCCTGTAGGATTTGTAACAGCTCAGCTGAGATCTTTCACGTGCCATCATTCAGTCAATTTTCATTGCTCAGTTTTTCCACAATAACTAAAGTATTTGGCAAAAAGTTACAGTTTTGCAATGGGAAAGCTTCCAAAGTAAAAAAAAAAAAAAATCCTAATTGTTGACCCACTTCTGCTAGTAATAAATACTAAAGTTATGTCCTGAGACTTCTCCTGGGCTCTCCTGCATTTATGTCATGGAGAATTCAGGGTTGTTATGCAGAATCGGAGTTTTAAGGACATTCTCTGCGTTTCAGAGGTAAAATTGGCATGGATTCATAAGAACCATTCAGGCTGTTAACAAATGAGGGATTTACAGCATAATAATATCACTAAATGCTGGGAAAAGGGCAAAAACTGTATTGCCAATGAGCTTTGCTGGAAGCCAGCGAACCAGACTAGGAAAAGTAGGAAAGGGGCCCTATGTAGACTGAGGAATTGAAACATCAAGGCAAGAACTGTCAGGGCAGGTGAGCTCTGTAGGGAAGGGACCGTGGTGTGATGAGTCTGAGTGACAAAATGTAGCACCTGCATCTAGCAGGTAGAATGAGACATGTGTCCTAGAAAGGGTCACCACCCATTCCCAGAATGATAGGTGACTTACCACAAGCCAAGGCCCAGTGGCTAAAATAAAATCTGAGGGGAAAATGTAGAATGATTCACTACTTTTGTCTCCCCAACTAATCTTTGAGGTTCTTCAAAGTGATCAAAAAAATGTCCACATTCCCCTATTTTATGCATCGTAAACCATTGTAAGCATGGCTCTGGCGGGGTTGGGCTCAGAATCATCCTGCCGTGTGTAAGATCCTGTGTGTGGTCGCATGATGGAGACTCGGCTGGTGGTGACACCATTTCACCACCCGGTTTAGGAAATGACCTGAACAGTCTCCCACTGAAGGACTTACCAAGCCCAACCCTGCTTAGCTTCCATTCAGGGTGGTATGGCCATAGACACCTAGATAGTCAGTGCAGAAAGAGCTACAGAAAACGTTTACTCAGATGGAAGCGTCCAGCAGATGGCCAGAGGTAGACCAGGGGAGGGTTTCAAGGCAGGATGGCTCTGGTCACAGTGGCTGGACATGCTTGTCTGTTGATCAGCTGGTACTAAGATAGGGCAGCAGGCTAAGTGACGCTCCCAGGGAGAGATACACTGCTAGCGCAGTGATGCCTGCATCACCAAACGGAGAACCAGTCAGAAAGGTGGTATTTTCAATTCTTTATTTGAATGTGGTGCTGTTCCCTGGACCAATCAAAAGATGCTCTTTTCAGTCTTTCATTTGCAGATGGGCATGGCCAATCAAAAGACACGGTTCTGATCCCAGCTTTACATTTGGCAGGAAGCCACGCTAGCTCCTCAGTAGAACAGTTTATGCGAGGTGTAAGGCAAAGTGAGGGTTTGATAGGCCCACTGTCCCACCTGCCCCTTATTCACATGAGAAGGAGATAACCTGGGAATTGTGGACACAAGAGACCCCTTTTCCTTCTCCTTTAGGCCCACTGTGAATCTTTTCGCTGTCTGCTCTCACCGCAGCGCACACTTTCTTCCCATCTTCACTTACTGATCACCTCCACTGCCTTTCATGTGTGTCCTGTCCAGTTACTCTTTTGGGACATCCAGGACCTGGAAGAAGAGCCCCAAGTGACCCTGCATCAGGTAACAGTGCTGTCAGCGGTAAAAAGCAGTCGTTGCTGGTTTACATTCCCAGCAGCAGACCATAACGCTAAGTGAAGTAAATCAGTCACAGAGGATTAAGTATCACATGGTTTCTCTTTCATGAGAAATCCGAAATATGAATCTTCTAAAGAGCAAAATAAAGGAGAGACGGTAAGAAACGGGGAGGTAGGTTTGGGGCAGGTGGGAAGGGCATGTGCGAAGGAGGGCGGGAGAAGGTGGAAGGGGGAGAAAAATGATCAAGGTATGATATGTATGTGTGCCAATTCCCCTAACCAAAATACATGCTATGTGTTGGGAATTTTGCTCATAAAAAAGCTTTTAACAAGTCATCATGCCCTCCATAGATGGGAACTGCCACAGAGGAGCTCACTCAGTAAAAGTGGATCTAAAGTAAATCAGGAGCAAACTGTGTGTATCTGTCCTGGGTGTGAGTTTGCACCAACATCTACAGCAGTGAAATTATGATTTGAGTGGCGCAAGAGGGAACCAGATCACAACTCACGGAGCCCGAAGTTCTGCAGCCCAGAGAGACCCAGAGTCTCCAACTGCCTTCAAGTGAGGTCAGAGGAGAGGTGTCCTCTTTGTGGACTCCGGTATTGCCTGAGTTTATTATTTTTTTTTCAAGTCCTGGATATCAAACCCAGAGCCTCGGCAGTGAACTACACCCTCACCCTCTCTACTTTCAGTCTCACGAGGTTGCCCAGGTTGGGTTCAAACCTGCATTCCAGGTCCTGCCTCAGCCTCCCAGAGTGCTGGGATTACGGGCATGAGCCAGTGAGCCTAAATTTAAAGTACACATTTTTCCCTTCTACAGGTGCTTTGGGCAAAGGTCTATTTGGTGCTACCAACTTAGGAGAGCTTCAAATGAACCCATCTTTTAATATTTAATAGTGGACTCCAAGACAGCCGAGGACCCCAGGAGGTTAGGCTGAATGGTCATTGTCATTTGCCTGGGACTGAGGGTTTTCCTAGGATTTTTACGGTTAAAACCAGGATGAGCAGTCACCCTGCAGCAGAATAACTTGGAGGTAATGTTTTTCTTAAGTAATATTTGCATTTCTTGGTAATTTTTGAGTGCACACAGCCCTGAATCAGCCATACTATTTTCCCAAGGAGGAATCAGTTGTATTGAAGATGGTGGTAGGAAGGTGGGGAACCCTCCACTGGGAGCTGGAGGCTGCACTCAGCACAACTCAACCCCCACTAAGGATATCCAAGGAGGAAGGGAGATGGGATTCAGTGATCAAACCATTTTCCTTGTGATTATGGCTGAGCCCCATGAGTTAAGGTTAGTGCTCCATTGCTAACCATCTCGGAGGTCAGATGTCTTGACTCTTTCAATTAACTTAATTAGCCTTTTTCCTGGTGTGTCTGCAACACTTCTTCGTGTCCACCTGTGGAAATCTTATGGGCTAAAGTCAGTCATTCCCTGCTCTGGAAGCCCACCATCAGCTCTGCGGAGATTTAGTCAGCCTTCTGTGGGACTCTGGAGTATGTCTATGGTATGTGTGACAGTTACCTATTTATCCATCTTTCTGTTCAACAGTAATTTAAATACTGTAGAGACTGGGGACTCCTTGTAATCCAGCAAAGAGAAAGCACCCAAGTTAGTTACTAATCAAACCCAGTTGTCATGTAACAAAGGATTCTGTTTGTGATAAGAAAGCGCAGCTAGGATCCTCCTGTCCCTTGGAATAAATGATTGCGTGTATAATAAATTATTTGCGTCTAAATTACCTTCCAAATTTGGTCCTGGGATTTTTTATTTTATTTTGCTTTGAAGGAGGGGAATCAACGGAGGGGAACACATTCTGCGTTCCCAGGGGGCCTTCGGTGCTCAGGGGGCTGGCGGCCCCTGTGCTGCTTCTGGGAGCCGTGTGCTCTGTGCGTGGCTGCTGCTGGCCTGCAGCTGCTAGTCATCTGCATTGCATTGCCTGGGGGTACGGGGGCCCCTGCTGCAGCAAATGCAGAAAAGCTCCAGCACTGGGAAGATCCCATGCCCACACACGAGCGCCCCTTCTTCCCCTAGCCAGAGAATCCCTGTGCAGGATGATGAAGACCCGGCTCCCTTATTAGGTGCTGTCCTCACATCAGAACCCAGGAGCAGGCAGAGGCTGGACCTCGGCCTCGCGCCACAGTTGTGTCCTGGCTTCTTTCATCCCAGGTTACTTCTTTCACAGCCCCTCTGGGTTCCTTCCCAGAGGGCGTCTTTGATAAATCTCCCGTGCATCTCTGTCCCCACGTCTGCTTGCAGGGATCCCATCCCAAGATCCGATTTTGACTTGAGATCCCTAAGCACACTTCTGTCCAGGAAGCCAGAGGAATGCGCAGGTCTCCGTTCTGGCCGGCAGAGTTGGAAAGAACTGGCATGGACACACACTTCTCTCTGGTTCACCTGAGTTCCCAGGGCTTCTCCAAGACGAAGACGACGGCAGCAAACCGGTCACACCCCGCGCCGCCCCTGGGGGCTCTGGGAGCTGGCGGCGCCTTCTGCAGTGCTAATAATGTCCTAAGAATGAACCCTTCATAAGGAGCGCCACACTTAATACCACCCAAGAGGACTGTATCCAAAAGGAAAAAAAACCTTTTGGTTTCTTTCCCATCACCCTTCAAGGTTGTCTAGGTCCCTGTCCACACTGGCGTGAGAACTGAGAGAACTCGAGAAAAATTGTTTCCTTTTTTGGGAAATTATTCTTAGGAAACAGATCTCTTTCGAAAGTTGGTGCTTTTGAAGATTTCTGCCCAGTCCTCAAATGTTTTCTCAGGACTTCAGGGAAAAATACACATTTTAGATGCATGTTTTTATCCAAATTTGACACGTTGAGTCTTCCTTAAATGCAGGAGAGGAAAGAGGAAAGAGAAAGAAAAGAAAGAAGAGAGGAGGGAGGAGGAAAGGAAAGGAAATGTATCATATATTCATGTTTGTTTATGTTAGGCTTACGGGTTACTACCCTTGACCATCTTTGATGGCAGATTGATTGGTGATGTTATTTAATGTAATTTCACACAGTAAATTTCAGATATTCCTCCTAAAACCCAGACCGTGAAGCAGGATTTACTGACAGGGTGGGAGAGAGATTGGGTGACAAAATATTTACTTGCAGGATTAAAATTGTTCCCTATTTCCTCGACTTGGCCTCAGAAATTTCCAGAAGGACCTGGCCAGATCATTCTGTTCCTGAAACATCCACACCGAAGTCTGTCACTCGTGACAGGTCTCAGAGGATTCTTCCAGAACTTTCCTGAGCTCCAGGCTGCCCCCTGGTCATGCAGTCATTGTGCTTCACCTCCTTGGGCATTTTCCTGTCAGGTTGGCACCCTCAAGATCTAATTGTTGACACATTACTAAACGAAAAAGAATAAGTAGGCAAACAGGACTGCAATGAAGAACAGTCTTAATGTTTAACTTGTGTTTGTCATATTCGTGTCCTAGGGACTGATTTCCTTCTGTCAGCATGAACGAACATCAGCTCTTTCGTGGACGGCTCAGCCAGAGTTATCGAGGTGTGACTGTAATTCCCACTGTGTGTCCCTGGATGCTCAAAGAATTCCATGTCCATGCCCACGAAACACTGGAGAAAATTGCGGGACAGTGGGGTGTGCGGAGGGAGCAGAGCTATTTGTTCTGTGGCTCGATGATTTTGGACAAATCGCTGGCCCTCTCTGGCTTCCATTTCCTGGCCCTCAAAAGATGAATAATCATGCTTGTATCTTGATCCAAACATCAAATTGATGCTTTTAAAGGAGTTTTCTACATTGAGGAGTCTTCAAATGTTAGTTTGCTCGTGGAAGTCGAGGGTGGGAATATTCATTAAATATAGGAAGGTAAGAATTAAAGTTGAACTGCAATAAATCATATCCTCCATTCGCCATCTTTTATCAATGCACTTTCGGAAGGTCTATGGTGTGTCAAGTATCTCTGAAAAGATGATATGGGGTCATCAAATCAGGCACGGCCAAGTTCCACAATGGGACAGAGACAGAAAATGACAGCACTGGGATGGTCTCACCCGGTGGTGAGTGACGCATGAAGCAGGAAGGGAGCTGAGGCACAGAGTTCAGCAGGGGCCACACCGGTGGGGCCTCCGGGGCAGGGACCCTGTGGCAAAGCCTGATCTCTGAGGAGGAGGAGTCGGGTCTTGCAAAAGAGCAGAGAGAGGACGTCCAAGGCAGGGGCCGTGCAGTGTGTCCCCACCACCTTTGTGACTGAAAGCCCTTGCACCTCTGGGCGCTGCCCATGCCAGCAGACGGGTGTCTCATTAGCAGAACTTTGCAGGGATCCCCATACACCGTGTCCCAAGAGGCTAGGAGAGCACATGGGCCACAGACGGACCCGTGGACACGGAGGCTGCAGGAGCGCCTCAGTGTAGGACAGACACATGGCTGGCTTCCAGAAGACACTACAACTTCATTTCTGGACCCCAAAGGTCTCCCCTCACATGTCTGCCCCAAGGACTTCCAGTCATTTGTCATACAAATGTCAGACCCTGCAAGCATGTTAGAGCCAGGTGACGACATGATTCCCACAGTGCAACTCCCACCGTCTGCCCACACATACCCAACATGACCCACATCTCTCCCGCTCATTTACACTTGTTCAGGGAGAAAACAAAGGCAATAGAAAAAATCAAGGTGCTAAACACAGGAGTTTCCCTGTGTGGGACCAGACTCTGGGACTCAGGCACGGCCTGCCCTAGCCCTGCCTCCCCAGGAGGTGCGGGGTTTTGTTAATGTTCCTTTGGGGTGAGGAGAAGGGCAGGTAAAGGAGAGCTTGTTGGAAAAGATAATCTGGTTATTTATTTATAGTCTGCATAGGCAAAGAGACCTTTAGAAGGGCTTTGAAAAGGGTGGCCAAAGTTTCTTCCAGGATTAACTGACCTTCTTTAATCTTTTATACAGGTGTCTGGCGGGCTGGGGCTGGGGAATTGAAGAATCCTGTGCCAGTCTATACAACTCCTCAGGACTTTAAGATACACAGTGACATCATGGACTCCTTTCTCTGATATTCACATTCTCTCTCTCTCTCTCTCTCTCTCTCTCTCTCCCTCGTCTCCTTTTCTCCCTCCCTCCTTCTCCGTCCCTCCCTCCTCTGCCTAATCTTTCTCAACCTCTTTCCTCCTCTCTAGTCCCTTCAGGTAATTCCTTCTCAGACTTGTACCAACTTGTTTTTGACTGACAGTGAACGGTGAGAAAGCTCCTCTGGAGAAGCCCAGGACACCTACCTCTCCCCCGGCGACCTGCACGGTCCCACTGCTCATTTTCCTGCCTGCCCTACCTTCTCAGCCGGCCAGGAGCCCGCATGCTGTGCAGGTAAGAAGCACTCGCTGTGTTAACACCAGCGCCGGCTACAGGTTGGAGATGTGTTTGGAAAACTTGAGTTCTAAAGGTAATGAAAAAGTTGTGATTCTTTTAAAACTTACTTAAATCATTCAAGGCACCCAGGCTTATCTGGGGGAATGTACAAGTGCCGCTTGCATGTGGAAAACGGGTTTTTCCTTAATGATGGGGCACAGCAGAAAAGAGCCCTTTTATGTTTGTCTGTGAAACACTACCCAGATGTTGTCTAGCGGGCGGTGGGTGGGATGGATCGAGATCACGGGAGAATTACTTTGACTCCTCCTGGAAAGTGCTTTTTTGTCACAGTGTCTGTTTGCTATTGATTGTCAGCGATTATATAGTTCTCTGGCTAGTTTTCTGGCAGTCGTTTTCTTTTGTCAGTGGTGAGATCAGTTTAGGTTGCTGTAAGGCGAAACCTCCCCAGAATATTTTAAAATCTGTTACCTATCCTTACGAGAAAAGAAAAGTTACGTAAGTTTTCTGTGCGGTAGGTATAAGGAATGTAAATAATTCTGACTTTGCAAACATTCTGAACTTTGCTCCCAGCCCGTGAATAATGCTTTTTACAATCTGCGTAGAATTCCATGTGAGTTCTGACTATTCTGAACTAGTAAATGTTACACCGGGTGGAATTTCCACACAGCTCCTGTACAGTCTGCTTTCATCTTCCTGCTGCCCTTCTGAATTTAGCCATTTAGTCACTTGGAGGACATCAGAATTTACCATCCTGAAGACATCTCTTGACCTCACTCTTCTGGTTAGAAAATGTACAAAAATAACACCAAAAACAAACCGCGGAAGTTTTTGAAAACTAAAGACAAAAATTCTCTACCCCCAAATTCACAGGTTCAGACGTACTTCTTTTAATCTGCTCAGATCTTAACTGTTTTCCCTCTTGACCTTTAAGAAGGATTTCAAAAAAGTTCTCAGTAACTCTTAAAGTTCTTATTTTGCAGCCTGGGGAATCACACAATCAACTCTTATTCCAGGTCTTTTCCTGTTTTTTCCTCTCTTGAAAGTTTAAGTAAATAGGTCACAATCAGTAATAGCCTTGGGTGATAAATTCTCTCCAATTAAAAATTGCCCATAAAAATCAAAAGACAGCGCCCCATCCCGTACAACTAGAATGCACTTTTAAACGCCGTTCTTTTGTGAAATGCACACATTCTAGAGACTGCCAGCTCAACAAGGACACACTTACCCTGCATACCGCTTGGCCGGGCTCTGCTCTGCCACCCCTTCCTGGGGTTTTATTGGTTTGCAGTTGTCCTTTTCCCTGGCTGTCACATAATTAACTGATCACGGAGGGAGAGGCCCAGAGGTCGCCTAGAACACAGGCATCAAAAAACTGGAGTGGGGGTATTTAGCCAGGTCGCCAGGGGTCCTGTCGCAGAATTGTTTTTTTTTTCACTGAATTAAATAAACGCAGAAGTAGTTTGGGCGTTTTTAGAGAGATCAACTTAGTGGAAGTTTGTGATTCTGGTTTTAAAGGAAAATGCATCTCCAGAGCTCCCCTTCTCTCTGACAGTTCCTTCCTTCCTTGCGTCAGCAGTTGTGGCCACTTTGCAGAAAGTGCTACTTTCCTCTCCTTGTGCTTCTAACCAGTGCAGACGGCTGTCATTTGGGAGCAAAGAGAGTGTGAGTCCCCAGGTTCCGCATGCCGGGGGTCCCGGAGCCAACAAAAGCAGGTCTTTTGGCTCCTTCCCTGGGCACTAAGCACACCCTCCCTCCCGCTTGGAGGAAATCTTGAAAAGTTGCATGTTCTTGTTTTGGGGGATGTGTGTGTGTGTGTGTGTGTGTGTGTGTGTGTGTGTATGTGTGTGTGTGTATGCGCACAGCTGCATTGGAATCCTAGAAGCCACTGTGCAGAGGGTGAGCTGTGAGCAGAGCGTGTCTGAGTGACCAGCCCCGGGCATGGTTGTGCAAGGTGTGCTCACCGCCAGCTAATATCCTTCCTGTCTCCAATGCAGTGCTGCCCACGCAGCAGCTGCAACACTTCCCACCAGACCAAGTCAGGTGTCTCTAAATACGCGAATTCTTGCAAGTGAAAATAACTCTCTTGCAAAATGGACGTGCTGCAAGAATGAGTGTTAGCTTTCGTGTTTGCAAAAAAAAAAAAAAGAAGTGCGTGGTTCATTGGCAGGCATGTGCAAAGGGAAACTCAGACAGCTAACTCTCCATCTAGCCTTCTCTCTTAGTCTGGTGTGAGGTGGGCTGTGGCCAGTGAGGTCTGCACTGGCACAGCACAGCTAAGAGGGAGTCAAGAGCAGCCCTCGCTTTGTGACCCAACACACCTGGCTCTTCACTACTGCACAGGTAGCTTCCTGGGCCAGCTATGTAGACAGGTAAAGGAGCTCTGTGGCCAGGCAGAAGTTCAGGGCAAACAGCCCCAGAAAGGCCAGATCTTTGAAACTTCCCTAAGCTAAAGGAACAAAGGAAATCCACTCCCCACTTTTAAAGGGAGAATTGAGGGCCGAGAAGATCAGCTAGTTAATCATTTGTAGGCAGGGGCTCTGGGAAAGAAATTTTATTTACTGTGTTACTTTGTTGAGATGAGAGGGAAAAAAAAACTGAGAGCATAGGAATTCCTAATATAGGACAAGGCAAGATAGTTGAACTTGACAAATGCAATCTCTGCAAAATGCCACCTGGGCCAGCTCGTCCATGGTGGGGATCTCGCCTCCACACAGCTGCATTCTCTCTGTAAAGAGAAAATCAGGGCTTAAGCAGGAGGGTAGGGATCAGTGCACACTCTGATGGCATCGTGTCCTAGCTGGAGAAGTTGTCAATAAACCAATAATCACCACCATGTTGCTTGATTCTAGAAGCTCATGCCTGGATGAATTCCAGAACATAGTCTGTGTTTCTCACCTAAAATTGTATAGCATAAAATCCCAGCTACTTCAGTCATAATAAGAAGATAGATCAGGACTGCCCCATCACGCTCACAACAGCAGAAAACACACAGGAAGAAAGCCAGGGCCTGTCGTTTCCTTCAGTCTTTAACACAGCAGTGATGCAGCCCTATGTTTTCAACAATGGATGGAAACTTTCATGTCTGGATAAAAGAAAAAGTGTGTGGCTTAATAAAGGAACAAACAGACAGGTACACGAGCACATATGTGCCAACCACCTGCCTCGTGTCCAGAAGGGATTAGTTAAGTGGAGAGCGGGTCTGTGCCTGCTTAGGGCTGAGCCTGTAAAGGGGAACTATTGGGAAGAATCAGCGCTGGAATTAGCAACATCTTCTTTGTTTCTCCCCTATGACCTGGCAGCTTGAGTTCAGAGCTGTCTTGATTGCTGAGATCCACAGTCAACAAAGCAAGGAAGTCCTTTCTGTCCCGGCTGGGCAAAAGTCACAGGGGCTCCCTCGCGCCCTCCTCACTCAGGCACAGGAGTTTGGGATAAATGGCCTCCTGGGGATGGCAGACCGTGCCCCTAGGGTTATAGGACACTCTGACCATTGCAGGAGAGAGGCCGTGGCTCAGAGGAGGGGCACAGCAGCGGGGATTCGCGTGCTTGGGGGACACAGGGGTCTGGGCTTGGTCTCATGCACACCCCCTCCCAGTCGGAGCTGCTCCCAGATCGGGCTGATGGCCATGAGATTCTTATGCATTTTCTGCCGCGACGATATCCGAGGTTTTTCAAGAGTTTATAGAGTTTAAGGTTATATCATTTGGGGCTTTCTTTCAGAAAAATAAAAGCAGATGCACAGTTGTGACTGTAAGATTAGGAGGAGGATTTGGAGATGACCTGTCCCTGTGAGGAACCCTGAAGCTAGGATGTCATCAGTTTCGTGATAAATCTATTCAGCGTCGCGCACAATAAAGACCCAACGCTTGTTTCTCGAGTGAGGGGATGAATTGAGCTATGCAAATGTTGGCCTTCTAAGAGTGACTCTGTGAAAGGATAAGTAAACTGTGCAGTACTGCTTGGACAGATCAGTGACAGACGGAGCTAGAACATCTCTCATGTCACAGGCGCGTTGCTCTGAAGGGTAGATTCATGCCCCCAGGACTTGACATTTAGGCCACATTTAGGTTTCAGGGTAAGATGCCATCAGAGCTGTTTTTCGGATGTTCATGGTGCCCCCAGCCTCAGGCCAGAGAACACTTTGATAGTGGTAAGCATAAATCCTAGCAGGGATGGCGAACCTTTTAGAGCTTTCCACGATAACCAGCAGCCAGCAGTGGCGCACGCAGGTTCACCACCAGCACAGAATGCATTGGAGTAGTTTCTCCTTTGACAGACTTTGACCGTTTGCCCCCGTGCAGTATCTGTGCGTCTGGTCAAGGCACCTCTTTCCTCCTCGATTTCTATTACTGTTGTTTCCAATAGCAGTTAACAGTGTCATGTCTTGATATGCAGGCCGGCTAAACCCATGCCTACCAGGCCAAATAATGTTCTCACTCGATAATGTTTATGCTTTCAAATATTTGCAGATTGGTATCTTGCTCTACGCTTGTCCTCTTTGCCAAAAAATACAAGGTTAGGCCCCTGGATTGTGCTTTGTTTGTTCCTAAGTCCTTTGTGTCTGTTCCTATGTTTTATGAAAGAACTGGAAAAAAATTTATCTGTGTTAGGAAAGTTCATGAAATCTGGCCTCATGCGTACCTTTGCCTACTAACCTCATGCTCCTCAAGCTGCGAGGAGTTAAGGGAAATGCATGACCCGGAGCCACCTCGCTGTTTGCGTCTGGCATGCTGTAAACACTGAGGAATGCGAGCCCCACCCCGTCTTCTTTATATTTTCAGAAGTCCGCGGAAAGAATTTATAAACGGATAGTGAGCTGCATCGCACACAGGCCCAAGTGCCCCAGCAGCAAACTCAGCGCGCATCCGTACTTAGGTAGCCCAGTCATCGCGAGACTGACCGTGGAGGTACAGTGTGTCATGAGGCCCACGACGCCGGAACACAGTGGTCCTTCAGTTTCAATGTCTTGTTTATGAAATTACAAATTCATAATTTCATCC